TTTAGAGACACTTTAATACTTGTCTTCCTGAATGAAAATTGTCGTCTCTGTATATGTTTCTCCGAATTATATTTCTTTTATTAATTGTTAGTACTGTCTCTTGTAATTTTAATCGCTGTGTCGATTGTTTTCAGTCGTTCAGTGAACAACGCTTCCCGGAGTACTCAAAATGCCGCGCGTTAAACCGTTTTAAAATAAAAAATAAACATAATAAATTCTTTATTATGTTGGAGCGTAACTCTGTTAATGTTCATTCAAACACTCGCCACTGCTAGCACTGCAAAAGTCAGAACCGGCTGGCCGTATAGATGATTTTGAAAATTTTTTTTAACGGTTTAGCTAAAGCCCACGCGTGCTGCGATCGTCCTGAATATTGAATGATAGCAATTTGTATCGCAATATTGTGAAATACTGCATTCTGTTGTGCGAGGTCTGTATGATAAAAACAGTGCCTCATAGTACTGTTTCACCTCAGATGTGATGTATAAATGATATAAAAGGTTGGTTTACAGTCGCACCCAGATTTGTTGGCAAGATTTTGTAAAGTAAACTTGTCGAACGCAAAAAATTCGGCCAGAATTTTTTTTCCAGGCCTAATTAATCTAAGGCGATCATGAGCCATTATGGCTCTTAATAAATGTGATCGAAGATGATTGCCAGTTTTTGGGTGTACTTATGAGGCTATCAACTCGATGTGAGATTTGGTTCACTCTTGGGCTGCTTGCAAATTATTTTTTGTAAAATCACTTAGCCTTTCCATGAAAAGTCACACGAATGTGCTCTAAAGTTAACTGAATTGTGGAATACAAGTTTATTGTTTGATTTAAATTATAAATTTATTAATGGGAGCCTCGCTTTTAGCCCTGGCTAAATCTATATATTCATGCTCTATCCCACTCCATGCTGCAACGGCTACAGAATGTGATAAATTAACGAAGGGAGAATGCCCTTTACTGAAATTCTAAATACATGCACTCCATAGAGCAATAAACACCTTCTAGAATTTCATGCAAGAATAAAGTTTTGGTCAAAAGCTATAACGCATGAAATTAGAAGAGCGAACTTTTGGGACACCCTGTATATAAAAGGATCAAGCATTTTCATAACCACACCAAACACTTACGGGGGTGCGCTCTGTGTTAGTTGTCATTGCCTCTTCTATTGTGTGAACAGTGATTTTAGCCTTCTGCTTATTTTCCTCTTCCCTCAGAAATAGTGTCTGCTGACGTCCTTTTATGTTGTTGCTTGGTGTACGTGCATCTGTCAATGACTCTTCTCTGTATTTAAAATCCGTTTCAACTCCTCTTTTATCTAGAATGTCTTTATCTCTACCATCTGCTGTTTGCATGACGGCTTGAAAATTTTCAGCTGAAGATTGTAGGGTCTGTTGATTAAAAAATGTAACTTATTAAATGTGTGTGGCTAAACTGACGCAGTTTATGCTGTATTATTACGCTTCCTTTAAACATGTCAGGTTAAAAAATAGTACCAAAAAATTCTGGAAAGGAAGAACTGCTTTCTATTCCAGTCACAAGCAGAGGCACATGTTTCTGTGAATTATTTTCCCAATGCTGAATGAAATATGAAAGGGATCGAACTTGGTTAACGAAGTTAACAAAGGAATTCAGTTGGCCTGTTCTACGTCTAACTTGATTCGTTAGGCCTTAGTATGTTATTCGAATCTGGTCTATATAGAAGCTGATAAGAAATTTAGAATATTTCCCCGTCGTTCGTAGTGGAACTAACTTGTGCTCCTAAGTTTGTGATGATTGTTCTGGTCTGAGTCACCGTGTATCTGCCACTCTCTTCTCCTGATGCCGAATTTAACTTAAGAAGGACCTCTTTAGGGTCCTGGAAGAAAAATTAGAATACTCCTTCAGAAACAGACGAAATATCGCAGGCGTGTGATTATACGATGCGCACATTGTTCAAGTTAGTTCTTAAAGTGCAACTCTGTCCTTTTCGAACTTCTAATATGAACAGTCGAAAAGGCAACAAAACAGTAGTGTGGACGCAAATCAATGGACGCGTTGTCGATGACAACAAAAAGGCATACTTTTGAAAACGAATTAGTGTGGACAGGGCCTTCGATTAGCAAATCAACAACTTAGCAAGTACATCACGGTTTTTTGTACATTGCAACCCCATTGACGTGACTAAGTGCCTAATTTCCGGGGTTTTGCAAAGGGCGTGAACAAGAAAGTATTTGTCTTGTTAATATCCTTTATAAAGTAAACGTTGTTGTAAACAATACGGAGTTTGAGCAACGACGACGACGACAGTAAGGGCAACGAGAACGGGAAAAAGGCAATACTAATAGCCTTAGATTGACAAAAAAAAAACTTTGCACGTGATCACGCTTTTTTGTACATTTCTTTGCCGTCACTGCAATACCGCGAAAAGAAAATGCGGCCTAAGTTCACGTTTTTTTCCAAAACGTCAACACAAGACAACGACTTTGTTTTTCTTTTCCTGAACTTCCATACAGTCTATTCATATTAAACCCCAGAAAAATTGGCCAGCATATCAAAAAATGAAAGAGTTCGGTTGGAATAAGTGCAAGAAAGTTTGAAGCAATTCAAATTCAATTTTTATAAAGCGACGTTTTTGTAACCACCGCCTTTGTCCCCGGCTCGCTATTGCTAAGTTAGGACGTCTGATCCGATATATTAGTCAAGAGTAAAGGGAAGTAACAACATGACTAAAGCGCCAAAAAAGTCTAGTACATAAAAGGATCATGCATTATCATAACCACACCAAACACTTACAGGCGTGCGCTCTTTGTTGGTTGTCATTGCCTCTTCTATTCTGTGAACAGTGATTTTAGCCTTCTGCTTATTTTCATCTTCCCTCATAAATAGTGTCTGCTGACTTTCTTTTATGTTGTTGCTTGATATAGATGTATCTTTCAATGTCTCTTCTCCTTCTTTGGTATCCGTTTTAACTCCTTGTTTATCTAGAATGTCTTTATCTCTACCATGTGTTGTTTTCATGACGGTTTGGGAATATTCAGCTGAAGATTGTAGGGTCTATGGATTAAAAAATGTAAGTTATTAAATGTGTGTGGCTAAATTGACACAGTTAATGCTATATTATTAAGCTTGCTTCGAACATCTGAGTTAAACTAAGGCCGAACAAAAACATCCTGGAAAGGAAGACCTGCTTTTTATACCAGTCACAAGTAGAGGCACATGTTTCTGTGAATTCCTTTTACAATGCTAAACTAAATGTCAAAGGGATCGAAATTGGTTAACGAAGTTAGCAAAGGAATTTAGTTGGCCTGTTCTACGTCTAACTTAATTCTTTAGGCCTCAGTTTGTTACTCTGAATAATTTAATGTATTATTAGTTTTATTTCTTCTTAAGGGCGTTAATAGAGCGCGGATCTGGTATAGGTAGAAGCTAATAAGAAAGTCAGATATTTCCTCGACATTATAAGTGGAACTAACTTGTCCTCCCGAATTTGTGATGATTCTTCTGGTCTCAGTCAACGTGTATCCGCCACGTTCTTCTCCTGTAGGCGATTTTAACTTAAGAAAGTCCTCTTTAGGGTCCTAAAGGTAAAATTAAAGTACGCTTTTAGAGACAGAGGAAATATCGCAGGCGCCTGATTGTAGGATGCGCACATGGTTAACTTACTTCTCAACGTGCAACTCTATTGTTTTCGAACTTGTTAGTAACGAAACTTCTTGATAACGAAACGCATACTTTTTTGAAAACGGTGTAGTGTGGACAGGGCCTTACATTAACAAAAAAAGAAGTTTGCACGTGCAATTTCGGTGAAACCTACTCCTATGCCTCAGCGACCGTGAGAAGATTTAGCTATGGATATATTGGGTCCACTTCCGTCAGGGGAGAATCTGTCAGGCCTGGTGCATTATCACAGCAGGTGGATAGAGGTTGACGTTGTCAGGGCAACCACGAGCAAGATAATTAATCAGCGTCTAATTGCTCCGTTTGCGAGATATGGAATACCCAAGAGATTGCACATTGTCAATAGCCCAAATTTAGTGGCAAACGAGATTGAGGATTATCTCAAAGAAATGGGAGTTGAGCAACGACATACAACCTCTCTGTGGCCAAGGGCCAATGGTGAGGTGGAAAGGCAGAATAGGGCACCATTGAAAGCTATCAGAGCAGCTCACGAGGAGAGGAAAATTTGGAGAGAAGAATTAAACAAGTCTCTGTCAGCATACAGGTCCACGCCCTACTCGACAATGGGGAAATGTCCGGCAGAGTTGCTGTTTAGAAGAGTGCTAAACAGTAAAATGCCTGAGCTGATGGGTTTAGATAATGAGGAAACAGACATAACTGACCAAGGAACCAGAGATCGTGACACTCAAAAGAAGCAGGCAAACAAGGACTATGTTGACAAAAAGTTCAAGGCAAGAGAGCGAGACGTGCGAGAGGGAGACTGGGTTCCGTTGGAGCAGAAGAGACAAAACAGGTTATCGTCATCGTATGAGAAGGAGCCATGTGAGGTGATGACTCGGTACGGGGATTAAGTTGTGTTGAGGTCGTCGAACGGAGGGGAGTACAGGAGAAATATGCACCATATTAAACCTTCCAACATTCCAGACCATGAAAGGTCGGCGTTACAGTCAGAGCTGGGATCTGCCTCTGCAACAGCTGCGCCTGCGTCAGCTACACAAGCTATGGCACCAAAGCCGGGGACACCTATTACAACAACAGCACCAGCAGAGATTCCAAAGATGTCTTTACCAACAGCAGCAGTGGAAATACCCCCTAAGGTCCCAGTCTCGGGTGCTGAGCAGCCACGCCCTCTAAGGAAATTTGGAAAGGTTACAGCACGACTAAAAACTTTGAGCGATTCTGTTTTGTATGTAGTCTAGTTTTTTCGAAAGATTCAGTCTTTACATTGAACTCAGCTATATTTATATTACCATTTGGCAAGGACTTGGTTGATTCCATTTCTGTATTCTAAGATTGTTTAAGTTGAAAGTAAGTATATTGTTTGCGTAATTTTCATTGATGTAAGTGTAAGTACGAATGAATAGAGAATGTAGTGTACAGAGGTTGTAGTGCATAGCGTACAGCGGTTGTACGCGCAGGACATACGGGAACTGAACAGTGTGAGCGGGCGTAGACTGACTGAGTTGACTTGTTGTAGAGCAGAGCAGATGAACGAATAAAGTGTTCGGTTTTATTTGCCTTTGTGGCTGTTAATTCTCTACATCACGCTTTTTTGTACATTGCAAAACAAAAAAAACGACGTGAATAAGCGTCTAATTTCAAGGTTTGTTGTGAAAGACGTCAACCAGACAATTACTTTCTTTTAAAGAAAGTAGTTGTCTTGTTAACGTCATTTACAAAGCAAACACGTTTATGAACAAGGGGGAGCTTAAAAGCAACGACGATGACGACAGTAAGGGCAACATGAACGGCAGAAAAGCAATACTAATAGGCTTAGATTGGCAAAAAACGACTTTCCACGTGCATCACACTTTTTTGTACATTTCTTCGTCATCACTGCAAGACTACAACGTGGAAAAGCGACCTAAGTTCACGTTTTGCGGAAAACGTGAACACACAAGAAACGACCTTCTTTTTCTTTTCCTGAACTTGGATAAAGTCTTTTAGAATTAAACCCTAAAACAAATTTGCCAATATTTGACGAAATGAAGGAGTTCGGTTGGAATAAGTGCGATAAAGTTGGAATTCACTTTTAATCAAGTGGTGTTTTCGTAACTAATGCCGTCTTTGATGCTTAAGCTCACTATTGCGAAGTTAGGACTTCTAAGCCAAGATACCAGTCAAAAGTAAATGAAAGTAACAACATGACTAAGGCATCAAAAAAGTCTAGTATAAAAAAGGATCAAGCATTATCATAACCACACCAAACACTTACCAGCGCGCGCTCTTCGTTGGTTGTCATTGCCTCTTCTACTGTGTGAACAGCGATTTTAACCTTCTGCTTACTTTCACCTTCTCTTGGGAATAGTGTCTGCTGACTTCCTTTTATGTTGTTGCTTGGTGTAGGTGCATCTTTCAATGACTCTTCTCTGTATTTGAAATCCGTTTCAACTCCTCTTTTATCAAGAATGTCTTTATCTCTACAATCTGCTGTTTGCATGACGGTTTGAAGATTTTCAGCTGAAGATTGTAGCGTCTGTTGATTAAAAAATGTAAGGTATTAAATGTGTGTGACTAAATTGACACAGTTTATGCTGTATTATTACGCTTCCTTTAAACATCTCAGGTTAAACAATAGTACCAAACAATTCTGGAAAGGAAGAACTGCTTTTTATTCCAGTCACAAGCAGAGGCACATGTTTCTGTGAATTATTTTCCCAATGTTGAATGAAATATGAAAGGGATCGAAGTTGGTTAACGAAGTTAACAAAGGAATTCAGTTGGCCTGTTCTACGTCTAACTTGATTCGCTAGGCCTTAGTATGTTACTCGAATCTGGTCTATATAGAAGCTGATAAGAAATTCCGAATATTTCCCCGTCGTTAGTAGTGTT